GAACCCAGTTCCCCAAGCTGAGCCATCAAGAGTGACCCCGGACGCCGCAGGAGACGAAGTGCCGCGCTGACCTGACGGAAAGGGGGAGCAGCGAAGCTAACAGCGGCCAAGGGGAAGCGCCAGGCACGGCGCCATCTTACCTCCCCGCCGCGCTGCGCCGCGCAGCTCGCCCTCTGGCCGCTCTGGCCGCTCGGAGCGCGGCCCTAGGGCCCCTAAGCGTTGATTGGCCGCTGTTCTGCCGGTGATGTGCTTCTATTGGTCAAGGCCAACACATCAGTTGAGGGGGCGGGACAGTAAAAAAAAAAACCTAAGAACCGGGAGTGGCTGAGGCGAACTGTCTGTCAGGAACTCGGCCAGTGAGTGGTTCATCGAAAAGGCGGGCCCAGCCAGTCGCCAGGTCTGGTCTCAATGTGGTTCTTTTTCTGAAGGCCTTGGACACCAGTGTTCCCAGGCAGCTACCTCGTTACTGTCCCTACACCGCAGGTAGAAAATTGGACAGAGGCTGGCCCTGTTTTATACATGAAAAGGCTTTATTAGTTTTCTATTGTGAACGGTTCAACTCATGTTCTTTCTGGTCATTTCATGTAGAACGCTAGAACATTTTCTTTTGGGTGACTCGAGAATCATATGATCTAATTCATTTTTTTTATAACAGCCCTGAGAAGTAGAAATTACTTTCTCCGTTTTACGGATAAGGTGACTGAAAATTAAAATGAGTTCTGGTGTAGACCCTGCTTCTCTAAAATCCTCTATAACTTCGTACCGAATAGTGTATTACGTAAATAGCAGTCTAATCCGGTTTCAAGATCTGTTAAATATTCCAACCACATCTCCTATCCAAATCCAGCGCCCTCCAGACATTCTTTTGGTTTTAGTTTATTCCGTTTGTACTGTCTGTACCCTAGCCTTCTAGAACTGTCTGCTGTCTGATTCATTTAAATAAGGTTTAGCCATGAACCAAAGAGCCGTTGAGATTACAGGTCTAGTTGATCGTAAAGAGAATCTGCCACCAAATGCAGAAATATCAAAAAGACATATCTCAGCTCCTCACAGTTTGTGCTGTTACCCACCGAACCAGCTCCCCAGCTCCCTGCTTCTAAGTTGTGAGCGTCCTACAATCTTTTCCACCAGGTGGCTCTTATTGCATTGTGCCTTTTTCATCCCTAAACTGGTATCTCCCAGATGAGGACTGGAAGCCTGGACCCTTCCTTTGGGCTTTGATGAGCTCTTATCCCATTCACTTAAAGCCTACAATTTTGTCATTTTTTAATCCAGGCCATTGTGATTTAACTGGCCTACTGGGTGCAAAATCCTCCATTTGTGCACTCAATTCCATGTCATCTACTCAAGGACATCACTCCACATCTGTTTTCTGAACCTTCCGAAAGCATATGTACATGCTGTAATTTTCACATTTAAAAAGTAACGGAAGCCTAGGCATTGGTGGTGCACGCCTTTAATCCCAACACTCAGGAGGCAGAGGCAGGCTGATCTCTGTGAGTTTGAGGCCAGGACAGGCTCCAAAACAAGAGAAACCCTGTCTCAAAAAACAAAAAAAACAAAAACAAAAACAAAAAAACAACAACAAAAAAAATTAAATGAGTTTGAGGCCAGGACAGGCTCCAAAACAAGAGAAACCCTGTCTCAAAAAACAAAAAAAAAACAAAAACAAAAAAACAACAAAAAAAATTAAATAAAAAAAAAGTAACGAAAAGTTATTTTACCTCTTCTTCAGGCTACTTCCTCTACTGCTGTACCTAAGACAGGATCTCTTTATATAGACCAGCCTAGCCTCAAACAGCTACTCTGCCTCAGTAGTCTCTTTAGTGCTGGGGTTACAAATGTGTTTCATCATTTTCAGCTCCCTTATACTCTTGAATTCTCTCCAGGTTGAATTCTCCTCAGAACAAATTGATAGCCAAGTTTACACATAACCATTCACCTTAATTTAAATGGCATTTATGTGGGTGGCTGGAGATCCAAACTCAGGTCCTCATGCTTGCACACGGAGCACTTTATCACTGAGCCTTCTTTCTTAAAACAGTTTCTAGGTCTCTATACTCTAGTTCCCTTTCCTCAGTCACCCATTCTTGTCATTTGAGTCTCTTGTTATCATTCCCCCACACCCCAAGTTTTGAACACTGAATACTTTTCTCTCGTTATCTGTTTTATCCCATTCATAAACTGATGGCTCCCATGCATGTACCACTAACCCGAACCCTTGCTTTGAATGGCACATCCAGTAGACCTGCCCATGGAATGTCTATATGAAATCTCAAATTTAATGTTAAGGCCAATTTCCTGTTACTCCTGTTTCCATTCAGTAACTCTGCCCTCCCAGTTGGTCAAGTCAAACATGGAGTCATACTTGACCTCCCTATCTTCATTATATATTACAATTCTCATTACTCTTAGCACTTTTGAAGCCACCCTTATCTCCTAAGTTGTTGAGACTGTCCTCTCATGTCCTTCCTATACCCAAAATAAAGAAAACAGAGGGAATGACCAGAACCCACGATTTTTTTTTTTTTAAGTGTCCTTTTTTCATAGGGCTGAAGAGGTAGCTCAGCAGGAAAGAGCACTAGCTGCTCTTCCAGAGGACCTGGGTTCAATTCCCAGCACCCACATGGTGGCTCACAACTGTTTCTAACTCCAGTTTCAGGGGATCTGACACCCTCACACAGACATACATGCAGGAAACACCAATGTCCATGAAATAAAAATCATTTTTTAAAAGTGTCCTTTTAATTTTTATTATATTTATTTGGGTGTGGCTAAGCATGTGTGGAAGTTAAAGGGTAACCAGTGGGAATCAATTTTCTCCTACCATGTGGATCCCAGGGATTGTGAGGCTTGGCACTGAGTGCCTTTACCCACTAGACCATCTCATCAGCCTCCCTTTTAAAGATCTTTGTTTGGTTTAAAGATCTTTTTTTGTGTGTGTAGCCGTGTGATGAGGGATTTCATTCTAATTGATGAATAAAACTGTTGGCCAATAAGGCAGCAAGATAGGCAGGACTAGGAGACAAGAATTCTGAGAAAGGTAAGCAGACTGGGCCGCCACAGAGTCACCATGTAGATAGTAAAGGAGTTAAGAGTTCTGGACCCTTCTCTGGTATGATAAGACCACGTGTAAATACTTAGATTAAGATAGAGCTAGTTAATAAGAAGCCCTAGTCATTGGCCACTAGTTTTATAATTAATATAGTGTCTGTGTTTATTTGGGGCTGAGAAAGACAATGGGACCAAACAGATGGGAAAGAAAATCAAGCAATGACCCTGGCTGTCCTGGAACTCGCTCTGTAGACCAGGAAGGCCTCGAACTCAAGAGATCTGCCTGCCTCTACTTCCCAAGTGCTGAGATTAAAGACGCATGCCGCCACTGCCCAGCCTTAAAGATCTTAAGCTACTGGTAATCCTAAAGTTTGATGTTTTCCTCTAAGTGTTTAACTTGTAAGATCTACCATATGTAGTATTAACAAGAATCTAACTTTTCTTCAAAATGTAATTCTACCCGATACGGTAGTCCATGCCAGTAATCGATCTCAGCACTCAAGATCTTGGGTATAGCAAGAGGATGACATTTGAGGCCAGCTGGGCTACATCGTGAAACTGTCTTGACAAAAACATACTGTCTACCAAAGACATCATTGTGGCTATCTTAATAGTTCGGCTTTTGATACAACAATTGTGAATTGTATCATGATGCTTGCTAGACGAGTGCTTTTAAGTATTGCTATCATAGTAACGCTACCATTTTTTACTCTTCCAAGTACTCATGCAACAGTATAGAGTGAAGAGTTTCCCCCCTCCAACTACAACATACTTTACAACACCAGGTTCACTGTTGTAGTTATATCTTAGTTCTCCCAATGGACTTAATGTCCTAAGATAGGAACTTAATACTGTCAAAACCAAAGTGATGATTCAACAAAGTAAGCCAAAGACTAATTTTTAAGGACATGGCACATACAAACAACAATCAGGTGTTTCATCATCAACGTTTATTGATGGGATGGATAAATACAGATTGAGAAACATACTTGACAGCAAAAAAAAAAAAAAAAAAAAAAAAACAAAAAAAAAGCTCACCACAAAATTGTACCTGAGTGACATAAACTGGTAAAGTGTGTTATTTTGTTTTTCATTTTACTTTTTCTTTTTGTTCTTTGGTCTGATAAGAAAATGGACAGTTTTATGTGTGGAAAGTAAGGTAATATAGGCCAGTTCCAAGTTCAGAATGCTAAGTTACACCTACAGTAACTATTTTCTTTGTGTTTTTAGGCCAGACAGCACTTCTACTTTTTAAGTTATTTCATTACGGCCTTCAGCTAATCACTTCCTCTGCTTCCACTGGCATTTCTAGATCACCTGATGAGAGACATACTTGTTCTGGCTTCAATTAACATGCTGTCAAGCATCCCTCTCCACAATTAGCGTGGCAACACAAACCCGTGAGTATTCTCTGCATACAACCAGGAATATGCACTCTTAAAGGGAAAGAGCAGACAATGATTTTTATTCAACATTCTTTCCCTCTCCTTCCCATTGCCAAGTTCATGTTAAAAACTTTTGAAATATTAAAACGCAGAGTTTACCCACTTAGAAAACAATTCTGAATTTAGACCACTCCATCAAATAAGATTACAGTAACATTCTTCTTTCAAACTTACATCCACTGAGGAAGAAGGAAATAAATGACAGCTTGGTGCAACAAGAATGCTTCTTAAACCATCAAGAGCCAAAACTCAATCAACACCAATGCATTTGGGGGGATATGAGTCCTTGAAAGCTCAGTGGGGGATGGTGGAAAGCTATTTCTCACTAACTGATGGGTTGCATAGACTGCTTAAATTCTCCCAAACCCAGGAGAATACAATAGGCATTCCAATCTCAAGATGTCTTAGTTACTCACTTTTCCTAGCATGAGTATCAAAATAACTCATCAACAAAAGAAAAAAATCTTTAAAAAAATAATCAGTTCCCAAAATAATGGAAACGCATATATTTAGATTCCAACCATACTAGGATAGATAGGACCCCTCCAATTGCCTTTGTCTAGAAGCAAGGTGTGAGAGGTAATGAGGAAACAGGTTGCAAAGGCTTCAGGAAACCCAGCAGTGATGTTACCATGATTTTGTTTCAATACTCAAATCTACTGCTGTTTGCAATTGGAGATTTCGATTTTTCTATCACTGCTGGTGAACCTAACAATATAGAAATATGTGGGATACACTAAACCAAAACACTAAAATCATTTACGAGAA